ATTTCCCCCTCCTTTTTTTTGATTTCCCCCTAGTAATTTTTTATTCTACTCAAAGTTTTTCATTCCACTTTCAAACTCCGATCCACTATTCTCTCTACTTCTTATTGTAGCTGAATCGCATTCTGATGCCTGATTCTATCTTCTCTCGAATCATTTTTCTGTATGCGAATGATGAAATATCAGGTTGTTCCGAAAGTTTTTCACATTTTTTGACATTTTTTCAACACAAATTTATTCAACGTATGAAATATTTCAGTGAGTAATATATTCAGTATTATGGTTCATCACAACCTGCCAACGTTTTGTTAAATGATCTAGATCTTTTTTTTTTAATTTAAAGGAAAAAGAAAAACTTGTATAAATAAAAGATACATAATCTTTTTAAAATGAAAATGGACACTTAGCAAGAAGAAACTGGTTTTAATGAACGAAATAGAGATGAGGAATAATATTCTACGCTTTTCATTGCTAATTCTAAAATTCGAAGTATATTTTTGTGTATTAGTCAATAGAAAGAGATGAAAAAGACGAGTTTCTTATTGCTAAGTGTTAGTTGTTATAACATGAAATAGATGATAAAAAAAAAGATTCATTCTGTTGTTCTTTAAATATCCTCTCTGGAACACAGGCGACAAACAATTGATAAAAAACTGATATCTAAAATAATGTTAGGAAAAGTGGGTCTAAACCAGACTGACTTTTTCCAAGTGTCCACAAATAATCGAACAAGATCAAAATCAAGGTACAAATGGAAAAGAGCTAAAACAAAAATTAGGCAACACTTTTTCGTCAATAGAGCGCTTAGTAAAATGATTTAGTTACTGCTGAGCAATTGCTCAATTTTCTGGCCCTACTCTCTGTCCTCTATTCTATGTATTATTCTATGTTCATTTATGCTTGACATGTCTTATTCTCCTCTCCCTATTTCTTTTTAATGTTCACTCTAGTTCTAGTTCATTCTATTATTTTACATTTCCTATCACTAGAATTCATTATTTATCCATTTGGAATCTGATTATCATGTATTTTAATGTTTTTTTTTCCTTTTTTTCCACGATTCTTGCAATCGTAAATAAATAAATAAAATAAATAAATAAATAGATGATAAAAAAACGATTCATTCTGTTGTTCTTTAAATATTCAAAACAAATTTTTGTAAATTATCAGATTCATTTCAGCATTATCAGAATTTGAATTAATACAGAAATTACATTTTTGTTGTTAAAAAGAAT